ACAGAAAACCTGCAGACTAAGTCAATTTCCATTTCCCTAAATTACGTAATTTACACATTTTCCTTAAATATGTCAGTTTTATTCCCCACTTAAATAATGTTAGATTTAATGAGGTTTGCTGGGACGGGGGAGGTAAAAAGTGTTTATGATCAAAAGTCAATATTACAGAATTAAATAAATAAATGTATCAAATTTTGTAAAAAACTATCCATTAACCAACGAACTACAACAGTTTGTTCTCTATAAGAATAACATGGAATGTTTAACATTCAGTTTTTGGAATTTTCTTCGTAACCTTCAATCGTATGACAATGGTACAATATACAAAATTGTTTGTTTTTTTTAGCTCTACATGGTGGTTGTAATGAAAATCAGGAATTTTTTATGTGTTATGGGTAAAATATGAGAAAAAACAATATTCGGAACATTTCAGAACCCATCTTAACCCATCAGTTCGCATGGCCCGATCTTGCTGGCTCGCAAACGCATTCAAGTTCATGCCACCCTACACATTCATGCCAAATACAAATTCAGTCATAATCGGACCAAAATCACTCCAGTTATCGTGTTCAGGATGAAGGAATACAGATACATACTAAAGTGTCCCAAGTCTCTCACTATCTGATGAAGGAATACAGATTCATACTTAAGTGCCCCAAGTCACTCACTGTCTGATGAATGAATACAGATACATACTAAAGTGGCTTAAGTCTCTCACTGTCTGATGAAGGAATGCAGATACATACTAAAGTGCCCTAAGTCTCTCATTGTCTGATGAAGGAATACATATACAATACTAAAGTGCCCCAAGTCTCTCTCTGTCTGATGAAGGAATACATATACAATACTAAAGTGCCCCAAGTCTCTCATTGTCTGATGAAGGAATACAGATACAATACTAAAGTGCCCCAAGTCTCTCTCTGTCTGATGAAGGAATACAGATACAATACTAAAGTGTCCCAAGTCTCTCACTGTCTGATAAAGGAATACATATACAATACTAAAGTGTCCCAAGTCTCTCTATGTCTGATGAAGGAATACATAAACAATACTAAAGTGTCCCAAGTCTTTCATACGGAGTCTTCATTGTATTCATGTTTTATTACTCTATGTCAAGTATGTTGTAGTACTCTTTCAACGGAACATTTGAACTGTACATTTTACGATAGGACGTAACTCTGACTAATAAATCTACCGGTGGAACCCGATCATGCCAATTCCCTGAGCCGACCATGTGCCGGCTCTTCTCTCGTTCTCATACCTGCCTTGGATCCATCTACACCTTCACCATGTTTGTGACTTAAATGCGTGTTTTTATTGATAGTAGCCATTCTGTTCAATGTTCTATGTCCAATGTCTACATACACAACACGGTACCCAAACGGTCCTGGAAAATTATCTGTCTACATATTAAGTTTATTTAATTTAATCCGGACATTCGTAGATTATATTAGCAATATTTTGGCTAAATTCATGGATGCTAGTTTCAATATGTCAAAGGTTGATGTCTCAGAGAGAATAAATTCTTAGTTAACCACTTTCAACTAATGTCTTTAGGAGGAGTTCTTTAGCAACTAAAGAAGTTTTTCTGGGGAAGGGGGGCTCAGAGCTGTCTGTCGGAAGCTTGCCAACCGATTGAGGGAACGCCTGTCGAAAACAGGCCACTGCACCTTTACCGCCGCTACAAATAATGTACATGACATGACATTGGCTTTCTTGAATACAGAAGTAGTCGTCACCATACCATTTTAACTTTTACTGTTCTTCGGGATGAGTGGAAACTTCAGAAACTTCCCCCCACCCAGAACATAAAAAATTCGTTTCATACACGGACAGCTACGCATTAATAGAAATCCAGGCTTTAGAGTGTATATACAATCATCCAGAACTCTTTGTTAGTTTGGGATGGTTCTTTACAACATTGGGACAGGTGCACCAATCTAGGCCCAGCCATACGGTACCAACATAAACGGATTGTAATTTTCTCTGACTGCCAGTAAGTCTTCCACTGTCATGACCAAAATAGAATGCCTTCTAGGCTATTTTAGGTGTGATACACTACAACAGTTTTGCCAAGCCTGCAACACTCAACTCTGTACAGCTTGGTTAAATACCAGGCCATGTAAGCATAGTTGTCTATGAGAATGCAGAAGAGTTGGATAAAAAATGTAAAAGGAAAGGCATGCCATCATGGAGCAGAGCCATTCTGTAACACTAGCAAAGTAATATCCAATATCATTATAAACAAATGGTCCAGGACGTAGCACCTCAAGCGTTGGCACTATCACCCGGACAAACACTTAGCTAGAAGCTGCTTCCAGAGTTCCAGAGTCTAGTGCGCTTTTAACAAACGCTGAACTTGGACATAGAACAGATAAAGCAGAAAGTATTTCTAGAAACATCTTCACACTCTAGGAATCACCAACCACCATGGAGTTTCGACTCTGCAATCAGTCCAATAAGACCGCAAAGCACATGATTCTGGATTGCGAGAGACTTTGGGCCAATTTGTGAGTTGGGAATGCAAATAAACTTAGACCTAGGGTCTTCTCATCAATCAACCCATGAACCAGGCTCTTTTAACACCAACTTGTCCGGATTTTTTATGGTTGACTTAACATCTAACAACATTTATGGATCTATAATATTGTTCTTTACTAAGAGTATAGTGAATGTTGTGACATATGAGTATAAGTCATACAGAATTTCAAAATTTTACAGCTTTAACTTGTTTGAAGTTTAACATGCTTATTGCACATGAAAACAGATGAACACAAGTATTCTAATATATTACAAAATAATGAATGCCTCAGAAACCAGAATATTGATACATTTCTTTTAAACAAATTAGACCTAAAGTCATCAAGAAACTGAGAAGTATAGTGCATTAAAACGTATTCCGAAAAATCAGAATAGTTGTATTGGATCCACCAGGAAAAGTAACAAACTTTTGTCATCAAAACTTTACAGAAATGATCGTTCAAAGTTGGTGTAATCTGTAAAAATGAGCTTTAAGCTCTGAAACTTGTTTTCTGTTAAACGCAAGTTAAATAAGCCTACTCTGTAAATTATATTGTTTAAATATTCTTATGAATCAAATAACCAATAATATGGTTTAGGGTAACAATATTTGTAAAGAACCATGTAATGAAATGTTGTATTCAAAATCTTTTTTTTATGGTGACTGAATGATACTTAAATATTTTGCTAAGTAATTAAATGACGTCTAGTCATATCTTAACAAATCTTTAAATGTCTGCAAATTTAACTCTGAAGTTATAATTAATCTAAAGAGAAAGATAATACGTTAAAATCAATCTTACCACGTGACAGTTAAAGTTTTAAGCTATTTGGAATTGTATTTCTATTAAAATTGGTGCTGCAATGATACTACAAGATTGTTGAATGTTTAATAACCACCGTGATAGCTTGTAACAATATACACAGTAAAGTTAGATAATTCCCTCAGGCCTCTTTTCACTTTAACAACGTTCCCTAAAGCATATTAAAGGTACATAAATAGACGCTGCCAGGATTCTGTGCTTGGGTTCGTTTTTTCCTGAATGTGGTATAGCTCTATAGAATTTGGCATACTTCAAATTTACCTTGTCCAATCATCCAAATCAAGATCCAAATTTTATTATACTAGTTACTCAACAATATTCCCTTAACAGTATTACTAATCCTTATTTAAATACTTATAACTCGAATTACTAAATAAATTATGTTTTATAAAAAGAACTTTATAAAACAAAGAACTTTATAAGAAGAAATAACAAAAATACTTTTAAGATTTTATATCAATTAACACAAAGCTAAAAGAGAACGAAAAATAGCTATAAAATCACTATTATAGCTGTACAGGCCGCATAAAATAAGGCAAATAATTCAGGATTCACCTCATTTTGCGCTTAAACATTTTGATTTAGTACTTACACACTGGACACCCTGTAAAGTCAGACCAGATTTTTATTCTATTCGAGCTTCAATTAAAAGTTTTAAATTTGTTTATTATGAATAAATAAATAAAATAAGATATGTACTTTAAGATCACACTTTTGTTTCATAAATCACGATTTTTTCTCTATTCACAATAATACTTATATACCTTGTAACACTAAGCTGGAAAACCTCAGTTTCTTAGGTCATGTCTTTGGAAGTATCTATGTCTTAAACATTTAACTTATCTATGTATTACAATTTGGAACGATAATGTGTGGCTGATGAACTTTCTGAATCATTAAGATTTAATCGAGTCTCTGTTAGTATGATGCTGGCTGATACAGGCCCTCCTCTTGTCTGGTTAGTACCACACACAATACTCAATACATTCTGGGATTCAAGGTGAAAATTACCTTATTATTTATCGGTGTATGAAAAGCTAGATATAGTTGTAATATTTTATAATACATTCCCAGTGTGTTTTAAACACGTAATAATATTCTATATTTCTTTTAACGGGACTAAATACGAGTGCATAGTGACTAAATTATACGTAAAACCCCACAACTTGGTCTAATCTTTTGCAGTTATAGAATATTCTTGGTGCCCTCTATTAGCCTTCACTTTACTCAAATACCGATTTGGTGTTCTGCCTCTGACACAATTTCGAGGGGAAAACGTTTATGAATGCGTTTCTCTCAAAAGTTTTTTGTAAGTTTTTTGCAAACTTAAAATTATTTTCATGTTTGTTTCATTTTAATCTTTGAGTTTGTGCATTCAGCTTGAGAAAGATGTTTGATATTTGACATCTTACAATGATCTGAGTTTGTAATAAGCTTAGTTGACTAGAAAATACATATCATGGCGGAAACAACATTCTATAGAATTTCACCAATTCAAATTGTTAAGATAGGTAAGGTTTCAAAATAAAACTGGCAAGAGTGTTTTCAAATACTTTATTTTCTTCTTAGTAACAAAATAATTTATTTAGTATTGCTAAATTTTAAAACATCTTTCAATCTTATATCCAATACAGATAAGACTAAAATAAATCTCTAATACAACTTTTAAGTAAAGTATTGAAACAATATAAATAAGTAACATAAGTAAAGCAGTTTTCAACTTTTATATTAGTGACTAATCATAAAAAAAATGTTAAAACCGCACTCACGTTTTATAAATTAACTAATATAACTAATTAGCCTATATAAAGTATAAACACTATACCCTGTTGAAATGATTGAAAATCATATAACGCACTTAAATTATACAGATACTAAATATTAGTAAATTCGTAAATCCATGGCACTATTGAGAACAACTTTACAATTGAAATGATATGATTGACGAGTAATTCACATTTCATATCCTCTTACATCATACATTTTTTTAAAGACACTTACTGTAAACTCATAATTTAGTAGCACTTCAATGGCATACTGGCACAAAGACTTAGAACATTGGATTAGGATTACTAAACAAAATTGTGTTTTTTTTATAATATAGGGCCTAATGGTTTTCTTTCCATATGAGTGTATACTTTCAGATTATCTGGAAAGTAAACAGTTACAAAAATAGTTTGATAGAGAATGATGAAACAAATAGTTTTAATTTGCTAAAATTTACTCTATTAAAAAGTAATATTGTATTATTAAATTATTTTTTTTATATGGGTCAAACAGAAAATATAAGTTTAGTGCAATATTCAACAGCAGACAAAAACATATTCGAGCAAATATATTCTATAACTGGTGAAATTATAAGTTTTGATAATATGACGGAAATCCAGAGAGGCATGAAATTGAATGAGTTTTTCAAAAAGTCTTGAATAATTTTTTGCTTAGTTGCAAAACAAGCTGTCTATGTTTTTAACTAGTTTGAGCCATTAAATGCCAGAATGAAAGTATAGGGATATATTTATAAGTTTGTACTTTGATCACATAATTTAGTCATGGTTATAGATTAAAAAAGGCTGTATCGCTCGAGGAATGTATAAACACAATTGATATACTATTTATGGATAAAAAGTAAAAAAAACTAAAAAAAAATGTTTTAAAAAGTAGTGCACATGCCATTAAAACATGGTGATGCACTGAAGGCCAGGTCTCTTGTCATATACCACAGACTAAAGACACTCATTCTTACACGCGGTCTTATAATTCGGCTTGACTAAAGTTATTTGGATTTCTTAAATTATAATGAAAGCGGCCTATAAACATTTTCCTATAATTATATGAGATTCCAAGTCTAGATCGACTCATTGAAATTTAATCAAATTAACTTACCCATTTTAAAATATGGATTTTTTGACAGATTTAATTTACAACCGTTATCTCGCTATACTCAAATAATGCCGAACCATGTAATGTAAATACGATTAGTAATTGTACTCAGCCATGAGAAATCTACTATATCATTAAGACTAACATACATACACACGTACATTTGCATATCTGTAAAAACTCTCAAACTGCATACCATTCTACTAAAAAAATAAATAAATATATAATATCAACCGTCGAAGGACCCAAGTGTGAAGATCACTTTGGAGTCGTTGTGGCTAACCTGTCTTTTGATGAGGGACGTTGTTCAGTCCTAGGAGACGTCGGAGGGTCCAGAAAGCAGCGGAGGTGAGGTAGAGGTTGATGAGGATGCTGGGTGAGATGATGGGATCTCGTAGGGCGGAGGCACAGTAGTGTACAAGGATACTCAGTAGGATGCAGCGAACAACCTCGTAGAAGGGAGCTTTGAGATTGGCGTCCAGAAGCATTCCCAGGATCGTCAAAGCTCCCAGGATGTGACACACGAACAGCAACACTGTCACAGGACTCATGCTCTGGAACAGATCAAAGCAATCACACAGCGTTCTTGACCAAAAGACTAAATTTCTTATCAGAGCTTTTTAAACTAAATAGGCTCATAAAAACTGTGCCGTAATTAAAATATTTAAAACCAATGAACAGATAGATTGTTTATATTTTGAAGAAGTGTCTACGATATGGAACCATGATTTTTAATGTATTACCAAGGTGAAACTTACCACATATCTGAGGGCCAGCTCTTGGAAGCCTACAGTTACAACGGCGAAATGTAAGACAACGTAGATGTTCAGCCAGTGAGGCAGTTTGATATCATACTTAGGCCTCCACTTTACCTGCAAAAGTGAAGTATACATTAGACTTGTGAGCACACCTCAATTCTAGAGACTTTTTAACAACCTAAAGAGAGCAAATTAAGCAAATTGTTTGCATAAATTAGTCGTATACCACTCCCTTGATACCATCTCGTTATTTATTGACAAGAGTATTTACAAATGCTGCAAAACTTAATGAGAAAATCTATATTGTACTTTTGGCTTAAACCACATAATTGAATTGGCATCTATAGTGTATCAAGAAAGTTGGATACAACCCTCAAAACATAGGAAAAAACCAGACTTGTTAATGATAATTTTTTTTAGCAATTACAAATCATTCATTCAATGCAAATCATCACCTCATTGTTGTACTTTTAGGAAATAATAAATCCTCACCATAAGTAATTGCAATCTGAGTCATATAACAAAGAATTGAGAGTAAAAGATATGCTGTGATGACTCACATCAATTTTGTCTTCGTCGGCCCCTGTCCAAGGTTTGCCCGGAAGCCAACTGGGGCCTTTGATCATTGCTGACAGCTTGTCTTGCCACCCCACCATGCGACGCATCTTCTCCCACACGTTCTTGTTGTAGAAAATCTGAAGGAAGAATAGTCAATTCATTTTATATATGATATTATAATCGTGTGAAATACATACATATATATATATATATCATATATCGTGTGAAATATGACTGAACTTATAATTCAAGAATGTCTTGTCAGTGTCATTCAGTCATGATTTTCAGTCAAGGGCTAACATTTACCCTATGAAAGCTTAAAATATTTAAATTCAAATCCACTTGCTTATTGAAATGGTTTATAACAATCAAACAAAACATTTCAAATAGTTTTTTAACAAGCATCTTAACGGCACTGCACAAAAAACTGCTTCTGATATTATTTTCAGATCTATTAGTGTTGAAAAATCTGAAAATGTGATATGTGAGATTGTTAGTTTGCATAAACATTTCAACAAAATTGTACGTAAAATACAATTTAAAATGTCACAAATAACATTTTCTGTTACCTGTAAGTAAAAAGGATTGAACGTAGGTTCATGTTTGACAAGCCCGTAAACAATTTCCTGTTTTTCCCTTTCCTCCTGGAATGTTCCAAAAAGTCGATCCCAGACTATAAGGAAGCCTCCGTAGTTCTTGTCCAGACAATACAAAACACTACCTAAAATGTAAAATAAAATATTTAAAAAATCGTTATTAGAGAATATTGTTAGCTTGTTGGCCTTCAAACATCAGAAAATTAAATGGCTGTATAAGTCAATCTATATAATTATCAATGTTTCTGTTACAATCACTGTTTTTCATTTGAAGTTTTACATGAATGTTAAGCACAGATTTTCAAATCCTGTTGTTAGCCATAAAAAGACAAAGCTTTATGGCAATATTATTGCACAATATTTGATATTGTACATCTTGAACGTGTATGGGCTAAATTGAAGGCCCAAAAGATTGCACCATATACTGAGTGAATTAAACAAGTTTTAAAATATTTTTCATAATCATAAAAATATTTAAGCTTTTATAGGTTTTATTATGCAATATCCTGTCAATCTGCCATTTCTCTGCCTATCTTCTCCACCATTATAGAGTTGTTTGCAATAGTGTATTAAAAAATTATCTTGCTTCTGATATTGTGTATTTACGTGAAGTATCATTGTTAGCAATCATGACAAAATGTTGAGGAAATGCAGTTTTAATTGGAGGCAGCTGATAACAGTGAACCGCTCGTTGCCGGAGTTAGCAATGTGACTACCACACACGCTCCGAAATACACGTAATAGGCCTACCTTAAAAAGGGCTTATACATTATATTAAATCTTCACTGAAACTTACGTGCACGACTGCTCAAGTGTGGGATATATTACCTATTGTATTGCAAAATAGTATTGACTGTGTATGGGGACCCAATATCCTCTTTGAATAAAAACCTGGCAACAACTGATCGAAGGTCAACGCCATAACTTACCATGGTGTACTCTGTGATGTTTGGGTGTGTTAAGCAGCCATTCTAGGGGCCCAAGAGACTTGACGGTTTCTGTGTGGATCCAAAACTGATATAGAAGGTTGAACTGCTGATGTGTTAGGAACTGAGCAGGTGGGACGAACAACGCCATTGGTAAGTAGAATATCTGGGAAATATATAGGGTGTTTCAACGCTACCCAAATCACAATTATAGAGAGTCACTTGTGACATACAAAGATTGTCATTACCTATTTCCTGAAATACATTTGAGTGTTGTTATCTATACGTTTTATTGTTATGGGGGAGAAGCTATCGATTTTATTACAATCCCGTTGGTACAATTAAAATCTTACGATATGAAAACTGTCGCAAAAACTGTTGTTAAATTTGAACAAAATTTACAAAAAGGTTGAATGTTGTGAGTCGTATTATAGAAAGGTAAAATTGTTAGGTGTAATTCACCTTTGACCTTGGCCACAAAATATACCATAATAGGAAACTATTGCTGAAAACATATTTTGGTTGAATTCATACACTAGTTACTCTCTCTGCAAGAACCTGGGATTAGTACAAAGGTTTAAGTGTTGAACATCAATTACTAGTCTACAACATAACCTATGAACCTATTGGACTAAATCGGTAAATGTTCTATTAATTTCCATCCAAACGTATTATTCAGCCATTTTAACGTTACGGTCGGCCTGTAAGGTAAACCTATTTTTAGGTTCTTTTATTATTGACATAGTTATATGAGTAAGGTTTTCTAAAGGTATATGGCTTCAGTAAATAGTTAACCTATAAATATGCTTACACCATTTATTAAGTAAAAGAAATATATAGATCTCCAACTAAGAATCTATACTATATATTGTTATTATAAACTAAGTTCTTGGTGTAAACCATTAGTTAACAGATATTATTTAGACCGTAGCAGATAAAAGAGAACCAGTTGCTGCTATAAGAAATCTATCCGACAATTTTCCCGCTTATAGATTTTATTTCATTGTCATGTTTCAATTATAGATAATTGGTAAAATGATGAGGTTACTTACAAAGCCACACCATCCTTGCAGTATAGACTGCCTAAGACCCACAGCTAAGTTGTAGTCTTCAGAGCTATGGTGTACTTGATGCTGAGCCCATAGGATGTGCACCTCTGCAAGAACATTCTGATTAGTAAAAAGATAATGGGCTAGTGATGTTACTTATATATTCATAGGATCGCTTAATGCGCTGGTAAAATTTCTATACGGAGACTGGAGGCAGGTCTCAAAGTCTAAAATACCCCCTCGGCAGCGAACCAGGAGACTTAGCAAATTCCCATTTACCCGGTTGGACTAAAATATTCCCTTAAAATTATCAGACTTACTGTGTTAAAAAAAAAAAACATGAATTTAGAGTACTTCAACTTTCTGCTGCAGATAATGTAAAAAAGAGAAGTAAAAAATGTTAAAATCGCTTATGACCAAATTAATTCTTTACAAAAATTGTTACATAGCTCCTGGACAATTGAAATAGCCCAAATACTACGTAGAGGAAAATAATTAAGAACCAATAACACGAATTGTGCACGTCCTCAGCCGGTACTACGTGGCTTCGCTGGTGAAACTGCTCAGTCCATTCTACCACAATCTGTATTTTCATACTTGTTAAGGCAAGTATGTTTGTGCGTAGCTCATTGCGATATTTTACGTACCGTGGCTGGCGCGATGTACCCAGTAGTAGCAGAAGTCAACCCCTATAGCAGCTATGTACCACGTTACTGGAGATTCCCACCTCAGATCAACCAAATGGAAGTTCTCGTAAATGTAGATGTACAGAGCGTGTTCCCCTCCTCGAAACACCAACCTAGAACAGATAAAACTTTCATTTTAGAAATACAATTTAAGAATTCAATTATACAAGTATATAGCTAGGTATATTGCAAACATTGCCAGCTAGCTTAAAATCAATGCCAGAAACTGAATTCAAATATAAAATAATTTAACGGTATCGGCAATCTGTCACATAAGTCCTCACATTATTTTGTTAAAAACACTTTCGGTGGGAGTAACTATGGTACTTTATGTCAAATATTGCTATATCTTTTGAACCGGATTTTTGACAGTAATTTGGTTTGTAAGCTTCGCTTTAGAGTCACCAGGACTATAATATACTACATTTTAATCAAAATACAATTGTCCGTTATTTTATGAGATTTTATGGGAATATCACCATTAACAAAATCTAGATTTCTAAAAATATTTTAAAACAACTGGAGATACCATGATTTTTTCTTTCGAAACCCACTTTTTGCTGTTCAGGGGGATCCAAAATTGATATATCCACCCAAAACACAAACTTGAAAATAAAATAAAAAACAGACTTACTAAAATTAAAACCAAACAATACTTTCTCCTTAAACTACGTACAGGGGGAGAAAGTAAAAGTTCACTCCTCAGTGAATTTCTAAATATCATTGAACACTTGACACTTATAGCATTGTTACCTATCGAATGTTTTTACATTCAATGGTACCTATGTACCCACTCTAAAAATGGGCTTTATAGAGGCGTACTTAGGACTGGAACAAATATTGGTAGTGTTTTGTCAATTAAAATGTTCAACAATCCAATTAACATTATAATCTGTAACCATATTCCATAGCATATTAGAACCATCCAAAAGAAGAGCATTGAGTCCAGATTATGGTAGTCTCTTTTTGTAATAAACTGGACGTCGTGTTTTTTTTTAATTCGTAAACAAGAAACAAAGCGTATGCTCATGTTTTGAAAATTCAGAGAACGAGACCATGGCGTGCGATTAGGGACGGGTCACAATCAGCTATAATATCCAGCAGCTTGGTGAGAGGCAAGTAAAGGTAAAATAGTCTTGTGGCAGGAGAAAAACGAGTTAAAATATCTACTTTACGTTGAGTGTTTTATTTTTTATGTGTAATACACGTTGGGAATCATGCAACTGTTTGGTAAACTTAAACTGTAATACAGTGCTTCGAATTATTTCATATTTTATTATTCATTGCTTGGTACTATTATTTTTCTTTTTGAATATTACTTTTCTCGGTGCTATTGACGACTGTCAAAACAAATTTAGTGTATATGAAAAATACAAATTATAGATTTGTTATTCTACTGTACTGAGACTTTTGCGCTGGAAAATTAGACACATAAGAGTTGGAAAAGAGATCAAACAAAATGTGTTCTAAATTACTTTTTGTGTACCTTTCAGAAACATTTAGATTGGGTTTTTCATTAAACTGCCCGACACCATAGACCTACTGGTTTGCGTGGATATAAGAAAGGCAGTCTTACGAGAAGAACTGTGCTACCGTACGGTACCTTTTTATCAATTAGTATTTTAAAATAATAATTAATTAAAACAATTACAAATCTTCTAACCCATCGACCCTAGATAAAATAATTGGTGGCAAAAATTAAAACAAATTACAGTGTGTATATTAAAAGTGTTTACAGCTCTGAACGAAAATTGCCCGAGAGACTTATTCTTTTTATTTCTAGTTTGGCAGACCTATTAAAGTGGGCTCTGAACCACTGGGATTACGAGATTGCCACATAGCTACAAATCTATTGGTGTTTGGTGGGATTTGATCCCAGTCCTCCAATGTTACTGCCTTAATGGATATGATTGGGTTCTGCATCTGTGTTTTTATTTATACTTCCAAGTTAGTGGGAATTATGCAATATAGAGCTCAAGGAAACTATTTTGGAACAACCCCACTATACGGTTGTCAAATACGTGATCTGTAAAGATTGAACTACGCGGTATGCCAACATTACTGAACAAATTTTCGGGATTAAACAAATCTGATTAGAATTTGCTAAAGTTGGATTAGCACGACATGTATTAAAACCTGTATGTTATTATTTCTCCAATTACCTGACAAATTTTCTTGCACTGATTATACCACGCCAAGTAGCTAATTGGTGCATTTACTTTCTTTTGCGCACCAATTTTTTCCCGCACTCTTTTTTTGCTGCATTCCAGTATTCCAACCAAACAACACAAAACAGGTGTGGTTTTTATATAGGCACTTAATACGTGAACGCTTGAAAAATAAGTTGGCAACACTTAAAATACTAGGACTAAGATCAGCTGGTGCAGCGTTTCCCATTTAGTTCAACGCTTGGAGTTAACCGAACCTAAAAACGTGGTTGTATGATGTTTGAAAGACTAATTATTTATATGCTTTATAGTAACTGTAGGTAATATATAATGTGTAACGCAAGTGCAAAGTACCTTTGCTGCACTCAAGAAACTTTCGACACTCGCCTGTGGCTTGTGCGTAAGCATTTCTCTCATTTGCAGGAAAGTGCCAATTCGCATACTATTTACACAAATAACTATACTAAAATGTATTTTGTGATCGACTTATGCCAAAAATTAGTATTTAGTACAGAATTTTGATCACCTGAGAAGATTTTATTGGAGCCTGCAGCCACGTGTATACCTCACACTCAACAGAAACGCTACGTGCAATGCATTCTGGCGTTTGAAGGAGTTCCTGATTTAAAAATCTTACATTTCATGGTAAGGTTGATCAGACATCTTCTTGTATTAATAATATTCGCCTTTGGATCACGTGGCACCTGGTTAATACGGCTTGAACATGGCTTGAACCCCTTCGTTTGAAGAGAGAATTTGAGAAAACCCATCGGGGAATAATTTATAATCTGGAACCTATTTCCATAGGAAAGATCAGTTGAAAGTAAACCAAATAAAATCAAATAAACTCAATTCAAAATACCTACCTTCATTTTTGAAAAAATTAAATCTGTATAGTATCGTTAGAAATATTATCAATCAATATAACTACTAATTTTCAGCACAGGTGATCTCAATTTGATCGCAAATATAAAATAAGTTATCAATGAATCAAAATACTGTATAATTTATTTCGCAAAAATCTACAAATTATATTATTTCAAGCCTTATCTGTATAGGGAGCTCGTTATAGTAGTAGGCGTATTATCGCCTTCCCAAACCACTGGGTGTCTTGCTTCACTTTAAGGGGCTCAGGCAACATATTGAAAAACCTAATGTTATAAAATGGATGTCCTTAAAAAAATTTTGTCTTGTGTTTAGGTAGCTGAACATTGCTTCTCTGGCCGCAGCATACTGGAGTTTATTGTACTGCAATTAAACAAATATGATATGTTCTGTACGACAAACAACTGAGAGTGGACATTGATAGAAATGTAAGGAAGAATATTGTGTTCCTTTAAGTGAGGTTTGCAAGAAGTAATATGATATATTCTAAATGAATACTCTTATGAACTTTTCTGGAGACAAACTTTGTTCAAACCCCCTCAAAGTCTTCCAGAGTGTCCCTTAATATGACAAATATAGATATATCAGTCCATAAAAGGCATTCAAAGTCACACAAGGATAAGCAAACTTCGAAATACTCCTTAAATCGTGCGTGAAAAAAGTAATAATATAAAACCAATAACTTTATCGAAGTGTAAACATTGAATAAATTTTAAAGTTTAACTCAGCGAATAGTATACCAATAATTAAAATAAAAACAAATATGACAGGTGACGCTTTTTATTTTTAAATGTGACTAATTAAAAACCGTTTGTAAAGGTTCGTCCCTTAGGAGAGGGTGGTGAACAAATTAATATTTTCACTATATAGTCCTCATCAAGATCTTCCATTTAAGTATGCTGTATAATAAGTAAGTGGCTTACAGTTTTCTCAAAATTTCGTGTTTCTTATGAAAATTATAATTAGATATTTCTACTTTTCGATTTGTATTCTCTCGTTAGCCCTCTACCGTAAGGTAAACATGAAACATGAGGAATTGACGTTTATTGTGCAACAATATTAATATATTCATTGACAAGTGAGACTAGGCGTATAACCTGGCAACAGTTTCAAGGGTCCTTCCATCAATAAACCACTTCTACAGGTATACGTAAGTTCCTCAACTGTTGACGTACTTGAATTTTAATCAGACTTCTTGCTACTGCAATTTGAACTGGTTCCAATAATGGACGTAAACAAATGAATTAGTTTAAACCCATTTAGTTTAACTTGTTGTTTGACTAATATATCTGCTGGTCTGTTATTAATAACGTTTAATATTTAATACTTCAGTATCGTTTAATCATAATACGTTTTTAAACATTAATTTTAACAATGGGAAGCAGTAATATCAAGTAAGACTAAAACAGTAGTTAGATAGTTTACCCAAAGTTAAGAAAAATAATTGATATGTTAAGTTCAGACAAATACTAAAAGATTATTCCAAGTAGTCAAAACTATACAAAAATATTATATTGACTAAAATATATAAAACAGAGAAAACCTTGAAAATTATTGTATTAAATTGTGAAAATTATTATTAAGTTATTATTCTGTCGTATTTCATGGATTAATTTGATGTTGGATTTGAGAATGGGTCATAAGAACGATACTAATGAATTAACTACATATTAAAAATTCATGTTGTGTACCGGCTGTTCTACAAAACTTACAAAAAAATCAAAAACTGTCCTTCTAGTAGTAACTGCATACACATAGAGGTGAATTTCTAAAAAGTGTACATATAATTGATCGTTAGAGGTCGTACCTTTAATTAGGGACGCTTTTACAGTTTTTCTTGACTTTTACCAATCACGGCTACAGGTTCGTAGATCCGCACCAAACTTAAGTTAGGATTACGTAATCCCCTGCCATCTGCAGAGGGGTTCCCTGTCCACCTTAGTCCACTTTACACTACAATAAGTCAACATAAAGTCGTTTAGAGGTTTGTTTGACAGTTTCAACCTTATTTATTCGTATAGAATCCTAATGAACTCTGAAATTTTATTCATCGCCTTATGATCTTCTCTAGTTCA